GTTCACTATGCATTTGAAGTGGCTTTTACAAAATATATAACTTTATATCCATCCTTCAAGTGCTGCTGAAATTGCTGGTTCTAATATTTGAGTGTTGTGGGATCTCCCTCTCAAGCAAGGTTTTTTTTTCTCTATTTAGAAAAAGCTGTTTATCTGACATTTCTTCTCCCAAAGAGTCACATATGGACAGCAGCATTTAAGACACACAGAGAGAAACATTAAATACAATTAAATTAAAACCATTGATGGAGAGAAAGACAGATTTAACATGTGATTGGTCATGTTTTATGGTCCTTGGTACTCCCTGGGTTTGACTGTTTTCTTGCAGATGTTTCATTATTGAACTAGGTAATATCATTAGTGCTACAAGGGAGTGGGGTTTGCTCTTATTTTATATACTAGTGGCTTGCCCCGTGAGTGTTGGTGGGAGTCATCTTGGTGGTTCCTTGATTAGGCTGAGGTTTACTGATAGCTTGTTTGTCTGAGCTGATAGTTCTTTGATTGGGGTATTTATTTCTGGATTACTGGTCTAGTGTTAATCTTGATATTAATCTGGGCTCATCTGAGTGTTGATTGAGAAAGTGTTTTGGGTTTTTGTTTTCTTTTTGTCTTTTTTATTGTCTCTTTTGAATGATAGGTAGATGTTTTATCTCTATGTGCCTGCTGCTGGCTAATTTGTCTGAGTGTTAGGCTTCCAGGAATTCTCTATCCGGCATGTTTCACTTGTCTTGGTCTAGGATGCTCACAACTTCCCAGTTAAAACTATGATTAAGTCTGCTCGTGTGTTGTGAATTTAAGGAATTTTCATCATACTTCACCCCTTTCCTAAGAGGTCTGTAGGGGGCGTGCATAAGCACACCAACGTGCCTACTGTCCCTGTCCTATTGTTTCTTTTATTTTTCTTATATGTATCCATTTCATGTATTTTTCTGTCCTATCTCATGCACAGAGGTGGATTTGTGGCTATGCAGATGCAGATAGATAATTCCACAAAACATCCATAACAAAGTACATTTATTGGTACATCAGGTATCTTCATAACTCACATTTGTGATGAAGCTCTTCTATAATGACCAATCTTTTGTATATCAGCATTGCAGGTAAAAAATGGTTATTTTCCCAACCCATCATGTAGCGATAGAAAGAAAGTTGTTATCAGTCCATGAGTGCAGGCAAGAATGGAGGGAAACCTCTCTCAACCCCTCGAGGGTCCATTTAGTGACCAATCAAGATTACAGATGTAGCCACATGACATGAACTACATTTCCCAGGATACCTTTAACTACATTTACCATGATGCATTCCCTTAAGGGGACAGCTCACAATTCCTAAGTAACTATCCAACTCCCATAGACTGGCTGGGCCAGCACATGTGTTCATAACTATGTTTATACTTATACCTGTTATAATCACTTGACAAAATAAATAAAATAAAATAAAAATAAAAAATATCTTCTGACTGCTAGTTGGGGTTCACAGATGCACTCTGCTACTCTTGTGCCTTTTTGTCTTGCATAGCAGCTGTTACCAGTCCTTATACTATAAGCTGTAGATGACTTCTGTTTTTTTTCTTTCTGAGCTGCGAGATCTTTGGGTTTACTTAGGATGTTTTGGAGGGCTTTAATTGTTTCTAGAACTCCCTTCCATCACTGCTATTATCTAGTTTGGGAGTGAAAAGTATGCAAGAAAACAGCCAAGCTCAGAGACCACCAAGGACACCAATCCTGAGCTATACATATTATCTTCTATCAGTCAAGTTTTATATTTCGTGAAGTGGGAAGCTTTTATATAATTGTATGGCTGACTATTCTGCACATTGTCTAAACAAGAATAAAACCAACTTGCTAATCTCAGATTGGTCAACCTATTGAATTATGGTACTTTCCAAAAATCTATTGGGAATAATTATGCAGTTGTGAGATTTGGTATCTGGAATGTATATTTAGAAAAGAAAGAGAAATAGTTTGCTCATTTATTGGGATAACAGAATTTACCTTTTCCAAAAATTATACTATGGGCAAAAGCAAAAAGATGGGAGTCTGGTGGGAAATGAGGATTCATAATAACAATGTTCTATGATGGTTTTTTTTTTTTCTGGATGCAAAAATCTCCACCCAATACATGGTCCACTCCTGACAAATCTATTTCACAGAATTAACAATGTTAATTGGTGATCAGTTAATGTAATGCAGTGCTATTCAGCCAGCCCCTTACTTTCCCAGTGTCCTGGAACATCCCTTGCTCACCCTGCAGATTATTGTGACAATAGGAGAGATGAAGTCGGGGCTATTTTTAAGGTATAGGCACTGAGTTTCCTGTACTATATTTAGTTTCTGTGAAAAGAAGAGATGAGCTTCTGGCTCTAAGCGTCTGTGAAAACGTCTTGGTGAATCCTATTATTTGAAGTTCACTTGATCTCCACATTTTAACTCTTTATTTATGAGAACAATAAAACAAAAAGATATTAACATTTTTTAAAAGAATCACCTTGTCATAAGATGGATGACAAACAAATTTAATAATAATGAAAAAAAGTGAATGTAAACTTGACATTTTTGCATGTTGCTGGACATACTTAATGGGAATAAGGAAAATGGTGGCTCTTCATCATGATGACTATATATTGGATATGGGAACTTACTGAAATCATGGTAATTTAGGGCACTTTCTCCCAATTTCAGAAGGAAAGGGCCTGGAAAGAAGGATTTTGGAAGATAGGACTAAGGGACACTTAAGTATAGGAAAGAGTGCTAAATGAGAATATACAGGAAAGGGGAGCTGTTCTTATTATCTCAGACAGAACAAACTGGCCAAATATTGCCAGGTCTTCCACAGGAATCCATGAATAGATTGTTTGTGGGAAAGAGTGAGAGAAAGAATCAATTTTGAGTTAATATGATGTAGGTGATATTGTGCCACCTTAAAACTGCCATTGAGTACAACTGGACATATTTCGGTCTCATGGCATCAGGTAAGTTGAAGTGCCATGTTATGAGCATTAGTGTCATAACATTAATGCTTTTCCTTCTATTTCTACAAACAGCACTGCAAACTCTTTGCTTGGCTTACAAAATTATTTTAATTGTATTTCAGTTCAAAACAAGTCAAATAAAAAAGGAATGAAACATTGAAATAGAATTCTGAAAGATTGTGTACATTTTTATATATTTTGATATCACTGATGAACATACATGTTTTCATAGTAAGGGATTTAGTGCCATAAAAAAATAACAGAATAACAGATTTGGAAGGGACCTTGGAGGTCTTCTAGTCCAACCCATTCAAGCAGGAAACCCTATATCACTTCAGACAAATTGTTGTCCAATATCTTCTTTAAAAATTCCAGTATTGGATCACTCACAATTTTTGGAGGCAAGTCATTCCATATTGTTATAACTGTCAAGAAATTTATAGCGCAAGGTTGGTTCTCTCCTGGATTATTTTTCATCCATTGCTTCTTGTCATGCTTTCAGGTGCTTTGGAGAATAGGCTGACTCCCTTCTTATTTGTGGCAACCCTTCAAATATTCAAACACTGTTACCATGTCAGCCTTAGGCCCTCTTTTTACTAAACTAAACATACCCTATTCCTGCAGGTGTTCTATTCACTAAATATTACTACACATTCACTAAATCCTACATTCTAACAAAATAATGATAAAGATGCAATAATTAGGCAAGGCACTCTGTTCTCATTTGGCTGATCTGTGACTAACACAGCTTACTAGTGTTGAATTATCTCAAAATTTGTTAAGTAAAAAAAATCAACTTCCAAAATGTAGCAAATTATTAGAATAAAAATTATTAATAGACCATATATACAAAGCTATAGCCAGCTGCAATTGTGTGTGTGTGTGTGTATTAGCCTAATTGCACTGGCTTTGGTGCAGTGCTAGCAGAAAGCAGAAAAAAGCAGAAAAGAGTAGTGAAAATTAAATATTTCTGAGTAGCAGGAGAGGCACCTACAGTTTCCTTTCTAAACAAATGCTGTGTGGTTGCTTGTGTTAGTGCATCAGAAGAGAGCATGGCTATTTAAATAAAAACCCAGAAACAAAATAATGGAGGCAGTTGGAGACACAATGGGTGCACATATTGCTCAATAGATACCTGTGATAGTGAAGTAGTGAATATAGCAAGAGTAATATATACAATTTAGGGAAAATCTGCATCTTTCTAAATATATATGTCATCAGTGGAATAGTAGGGGAACAAGCATTGTCTTAATAGCTTTAGTATGATTTGCATCCTGTCCACTGAATGATGATCAAGTATCCAGTGCCTAGATCAGGGGTGTCCAACCTTTCACCTTCCCTGGGCCACATTAGAAGATGAAAATTTGGTTTGGGCCGCACATAAAATAAAATAACAGTAGCAATACCTGATCATCCAAAAAAACCATAGAAAACATAGTTAACATATTAAATTTATTTGGAAATGAAGTTAGTGAGATGTTTTTATTATTAATTATTTATTAAAAATTATTTATTAAAAATTATTTATTTTTTATCACAGTTTTTTTATCACGGTTTTTTTATCATGGTTTATTTTCCGGCCAAATTTTGCGGGGGGGGGGAGAAAGCTCGCCCGCCTCGCGCCTACCTCTCCTCCTGCAAATGGCCCGGCTGGATGAGGCAGGACTGGAAGGCAGAAGCAGCAGCAGCAGCGGGGGCAGTGGCGGCAGCGATGGCAGGGGCAGAAGTGGCAGCGGGGGCAGAAGCGGCAGGGGCAGAAGCAGCGGCGATGGCGGTGGTGGCAACAGCAGGAGGTGGCGCTCTGACAGTGCCTGCTTTTTCTGTTGCTGCTTGGCCTGGCGCTCGCCTCGCCCTGTCGCGCCTGCTTCTCCTCCTCCTCCTCGCTGGCTCTGGCACAAAGTTTGGGGTGGGCACTGGGCCGCATTACAAGGTGACCTGGGCCGCATGCGGCCCTTGGGCCGCAGGTTGGACAAGCCTGGCCTAGATGATGCAAGATAACTAACTAATCATAATGGAAGTCATAGATTTTTTTGTCTTACACTATAAAAGCATTCCACAGCAACTGAGATGAGTTTAATTTTGCTTCTGTTTTCCAAATGCAGCAGAAAAGATCAATGTTGAAGAATTTTCATCTGCTTCATAAAGTATTTGCATAAAATGCATGATATAAGATAAAATTTCCCAAGGGTTTTTTTTTTCTTTTCTTTCTAGCAAGCATATGAGAAGCATCCCGGAAATTGATGTACCTTTTATTTCAGCTTTGTGCCTCCTTCTTATCCTTCTTCTGTATCTTTTATATGGTTATTCATCCTCTATTTCATCCTACTCCTAATGCATATATTAAAGTCCCATTTGTTGAATAACAAGTAATATTGATTATAAATCATTTTTTATCTTCAGTTTGGAAAGAAGAATTTGGAAGTGTTTTCTTCGAGACAACTGAAACACAAATTACGCATGGGGCCTTCGTTCACCTTTGTCTTCATCTTCAATCTCTTCTGTAGAAGGTCCCCGGATTTTAACATTCTCATGTATAGGTTGGAATGTATTTTCTGTCTCCCTAAAAATTAGACATAAAATGATTAATTCAGAGGATGAGGTTTTTTAATTTAAAAATAGTTATAATAATTACTTCATTTATTTATTAAACTTATATGCTGCATATCTCTCACCTAAGAAGCTATTCTAGGTAGTTTGCAATCATAAAAATCATACTATCATTAATGAAGGACATTTAGAAGGACAACTCTGTTAGCCTATTGTAGCCAAAAAATAGAGTGTAGTAGCATCTTTTCAGATTCAGATTAACAGTTCAAGAGAGTTGGAAAATTCTTGAAAAATGAGGTAATTGAAGCTCCAAACTCAATCAATACAAAAGTGAATGGAGAAAGCCAAGGAAGAGCAAATCTGGAGGTGTAGAATAATAGTGGCAGAGTCAGGAAAATACTGCCTAAATTTTAATTCACAGTATGCAAATTTCCCATTTTTACGAACTATACTGACATTACTAAGCTGTATTTAGCTCAACTGTGGACAGTGCTGCAAATAATCTTGAAAAAAAAACTAGGTGTGACATTTATACTCCACCTTTAAAATAGACAGTCTATCTCTTCCCATCCCATCTCATCCCCACATTTTTTACCGAAGGACACTCACGTTGCCTCATAGTCCTTATTCTTTGATTTCCTACAGCAACAACAATAAACCAAAACACTTATAATAATGACAGCAGCAAGGATCCCACCAATGATTCCAGCATAAAGAGCAATGTTCATGGATGCTGTAGAAAGAAAAGATTAGCAGTTATTGCAAAACTGATAAGCTGTTTGGCTGTTTTGGAAAAGACTTTGTTAGGGATTGTTTAAATCCATATGTTTAAAAATATCCTGAATATCAGCAGAGTACTAAAGAATATTGAGTAATTAAGCAGCAGAACAGTCCATAAAAGGAATAAAAACTCAGTGTATGGTTCGCTTGGGTGTAGAATATGATTCTAGCCTACCTGTCTATGAATAGTAACTGACATTACTTATACCTGAAGTAAAAACATTATTAATAAATAATTTCAAACAAAATTTTTGAAATTATTTATTTCTGAAATATTATTAATAAATAATATTAAGAAATAATAATATTACTGAAAAAATTATCAGGAAATAAATGAAGATTTTAAAAACTGTCTTCTACGCAGCATTTCCCAACCTTTGCAACTTTGTGGACAGGCAGGGTGGGAGGGAACAGGGGTATGAGGGGCACTTCTGCACAAGTGGCAAGTGTAGCTGTGCGCATGCTCCCCGTTGTTTTCTTGGCCAGTTCCAAACAGGTTGGGCACCCGTGTTCTACTGCCTTTTAAAAAAATGTAAATGTGGACATCAACCTCCCCAAATTCTGGGAGTTGAATTCTGACATTTGAAGTCCAGACATCTTGACGTTCCCAAGTTTGAGAAATGCTGCTCTACACTAATAAAGAGGACAGACATTATCTTTTTTACTTATAAACACAGAGAGTCATTTAATTAATAGGTGAGAAATGTTTAAAATGTGTGAAGTGAAGTTAAGGATTGTACTGTATGGGAAGAAAGTAGACACGTGGGCCTGACTGGAATGTTCAATATTTGTTCTCATTTAAAATTTTGATTCTTTTCATTGCTTCCAGTATCATAGTTGCCAGAAATTGCTGTCATTATTTATAATGGGGGCTGAGAGACTGCTACAAACTGCCCTTGATAAACAAGTTAATTGAACAGAATCTAGATCTTTTTGTTTGCGCATTGGCATTCTGGTAGATGGAACATAATAGGTTGCACAAACAAAATGCATCTGGACTTTCATCTGACAATACCTTCTTCAGGCACAGTTGCTAAATGTGCTTTCACATGTCCTTAATTGTGGAGCTACTGCCCAGATATTTAGTTTTGTGAAATGTAGACGCAAACAATAAAACAGCTCCCTTTCCCCCCATAATGAAAAAACATTACTATTTTTTTAAAAAAACTACAACAATTTGAACAATGTTTTGAGTTAAGATCCTTTTTAAAAACAACAAACAAACAAAAGCAGTTAAATCAATTAAAAATATCTTTTAATTAGAAATAGTCTTTTGTGGCATGAAGATGTGTAATTGCCTCTACATAACAAACATAACATCTACATAAGAAATCACTATAAATACTGCAAATATATCTTTTAGGGGCAGAAAAGGAGTTCTGCTGTGGACAAAACATAAATGGAGGATGATCTGATAATGTCATATAGGAAAACCTCTAAAAAGTGAACGAGCAATGTTCAATGCTTAACTGTAGGATAGCATTCTGGAAGGCATCTGCCAGTAAAACATATAATTCTTATTGTGAACTACTCTTCCTGATCTAAAAACTGATGAGTTTATTTTCTTCTACTTAAGTCTACCCCATGCAAGCATCCCCAGATACTTACGAGGTTGAATAGCAACCGTGAGATTACATCTGTTCTCGCCAACAGTGTTTTTGGAAAGGCAGATATAATATCCGGTTGTGTTTATAGAAACATTTTTCAGCATCAGCAATCCTAGTAGAAAACAAGAAAAATAACCTGATCGTATAGCAGGTTCAAGCAGAAAAGTATTTTTTCACCTGTTCCTTACTTTATCATATATAAAATCAGTATAGTATAATGTTCTCATAGCAGATGTAACCTGTACAGCATAATACAACAAATCATTGTAGTTCAGTTGCTATGTTTGTTGGCCTGATTTGCAATCCTATTAAATCTTTTTAGTACACTGGTCATTTAAGAAGTCAAGAAGTCATCTAGCATGTTTTCGTCCCAGTTTTGCTTTCAATGATCCTGGCAAGATAAGTTAAGCAAAGAGAGAGTACCTATAATCAACTAGGGACTGAGTTTACACATAGTGTATTGTTCCTTGTCCTTTTCCTTCCATTCCTAACTATGACACTAATGCCTTGGCAACATCTTTTTCTGCTGATTCTCAATGGCATCTCCCTCCCTTGACAGGCTCAAGTCATCCTTACCTCTATCACTCTTAAAGTAATATTCCCCTCACGCAGATACACACCTTATTTGAACACAATCCAAGGACAGCCTAAAGGTATATAAAATCTGTCAGATTTTGTCACCAATTACCTTTGAGAGAAGTCAGATAATTGACAGGAAGTGGGAACAGAATCAAGAGAGGTAGTATAGAAAAAGAAAACAGATTTTATACCAGTATAATTTTCTCTGCAGTCAAAGATTGGTGGGCAGGACTTTAACTCTGCACAAAGGGAAAAATCTCATGACATGGTTCATTTGCTTTTAACTGAATATAATGTACATTGTGCAAGCACAGCCATTATGGTTGGTAAACTAAGGTTTATAGGTTTGCATGATATATTAAATCCTTCAGGGAATGTAATGTATTAAAGGATGTACTATGTAAAAGAACATAATAATTAGTACTCAGCTATCTATTTACTAACTAATAGTAAGTGTGGGTAAAAACTGTATATGAGTTCTGCTTTAATTTCCAAATATATAAATTGATTTCTTGTCCTTATGATTTATTTCCAGATAAGGAAATATATTTTCACAAATCTAGAAGTAGCATATTTTTTAACAATTGTGAATATAAAATGTAGGTGAGACATTTTAGTGAAATTTGTACAGATCTCAGCATTCTCTGTGCAATGGATTGTAAACAAACTTGGTATAGTGCATGTGACTAAGATGGCGCATCCATTCATAAACCTTTAGTAATAGAACACAGCTAACATGCCAGCAAAGCATTCTGCCTGACAGTTGGACTATCAACGATCCATGTAGGTTAGGCAAAGATGATCTTATCATCTGGAAAGTATTCTACAGCTTTCCAAAGAATTCATTCTTTGTGAGAATCAACATTACAAAATCATAGCGCACTGATGAGAGAGGACATTTTTATGAGTGCATGCTTATGCTATAAGCGTCTGGATGAAAGCCATGAGGGCAGTGTTGGCTGCCAGTTTTGAAGAAATTTCAGACAAGATGTCTTTCATGGATTTTTTCCACCTTCTTTCCTCGCTGCTTATTCACATGCTTCCGCCTTCTTATCTAAACTGTATATTCCTCAAAGAGGGGAAAATGTGTTTCAGAAAGTGTTTCATCTTCTTACTCTTGTTACATTGCTACTTTTTTTTTTGAAATGACAAGTGAAATGCAATGATAATCACAGGGAGCAGTAGCCGTGACTTTGGCATTGAAAGTGGGCCCTCAGCAGATCTCATCGTTGAATACCTATCTATACCTTAACGTAGTTTGGCATTGTAGTGTAGTGATTGAAAAGCTAGACTAATATCCATAAGTCAAGGCTGAAAATTATCCATGACATGCTCTGGATGACTGAGCATTATTTCTCTCTCCTTCAAAGAATTACCTTGACTATAATAATAAATGGAGAAGGGACTGTAAATAATATTTGCTTTACCTGGAGGAGCAGGAGTCATAGATATGAAGTGATGTGTTATATAGAAATTTCTAAGCTTCATTCCTAATAATATTTCAAATGTTTCTTTATTTGTCCCCCAAAAAGTGCTATACAGTGCATATTCTAAATAGTTCAGGAACCATACTTAGCCTTAAGTATCATGCTTGGACCATGCACTAGGAAGCAAATAAATTTAGATCAAAGATTAAATTAAATTAATAATTTAAATTAGTTAAATGTCATGAACCTGACCATTTTCCATACATTTAATAATTCTCTTCTCCATGGGATAAGTAATAAATTGTAATCTAACTTTGAAATATTGCAAGAAATGTCTCCCATAATAGCAACTTGAATCTCCAAAGATTCCCAGTCAATTCATTTGTACATTGCAGCATGAAGAGCTTTTTCTTGAATCAGGTAGGCTGGTTTGTAAAATCAGCCCCTGAATAGAGTGAAAACTGCACATTCAAAGAAGAATAAATAAGGGGGAAATTCCTTTTCATGCAAATCTTCTAATAGAATGAATTAAAAACTCTGTGTTTGTCGAAGGTCATACAATGGAGAAGAATGATTGAGTGAAGAAGCTGAACAGAAATGTAATATGCATTTTAAAAAAAGCATAGAGAATCTGCAAACTTGGAATCCTCCATTTGTATTGTACAGAAATGTGTGAAATGTCTTGGATAAATTATTTCTTTTAATATTTTAGTGTGATACATCTTCCATTTCTTATTATTATAATTGCATTCTTTTATTTTTATGCCATTATTTATTATTCTTAATTTTTTATTTTATCTGTTGTGCTGTATTCTCTGTAGACTTTTAAATTGCTTTTACATTTGTTTTTAACATTATAGGCTTTTTACATTGTTTTAAATGTTTTAATTTATTATATATTACACAGGGAACTCCTACAAGTGGACAGCAAAGAAGTACAATAAACCAAGTCATTTGTAAATAAAGTATATTGATCAAACATTTCGAAGTTGTTCCTTACTCAATTTTGGTGCTTTTATGTGAATATTTATACTTCGTCATTTATATATAGTCTCAATTTCAGTCACATGAATCATAATGTTTAAATAGAGAAAAAGGCAGAAAGATTAAGTCTTGATCTTTATTCTTTTTCTGTATTATAAATTTACATATAATATTTCTCTTATACTATTTTATAAGAAAAATGAGAATAAAAGAAAAAGAAATAAGCAATGCTATACAGGCAATTTAACCAGGGAAGATTTTTTGATCTGGTGCTACCATCTATAGGTCTATCTGGTGTATAGCAAGTATATTTTCTTTCCAATTCAGTAGTCTAATCAAGGCTTTACTTGATATGTTCTAGGATAAAAGCTAACTTCCCTTTTCATTACAGTGTTGGTGTCAGATTTTGTTCAAGGCTTGGTGAATTAAACAAGATGGTGTCCTCTTTTATTTCATCTTCAATTATCACTACATTTCAGTTTACAGAATATTGTACAATGGGGTAGCGCTTTCCAGCTATAGTAAGCCAAGTATTATGTCATACTAAGTATAATAGAGCAAGCTAAGTATCATTGTTAGGATCATGTGCAATGTTACGGGAAGCTATACAAGCTTGATACCTCCCAGAATGTGCCACATGAGCCTAGCAGTTTGGCATCTCATTTGGCCTGATAATATGGCTGACAGCTCTTTCTGACTGTGCAGTTGAAAAAATATGATAACATAAGGTTCAAAGAAAATGAATAATATTTCCTCAGTGAGATGGTCTTCTGAGTCTAGCTGAGAGAGTATCAAATGAACAAGATATTTGTTAGAGAGAAAATCACAAACTACTGGAAACTGACATGATTTCATTCCTTCCAATAAGAACCTTGGAACTCACATTCAAAACGGATATAAAACACACGTTTAATATATAAAATGCAGCTATATTTAACTGCTTGTGATTCCCTGTCCCAAAATAAGCAGTAACATTTTTGAATGATGTTGCCTCATTTGTCTGCACCAGCAAAGCTGAGTGTTTTGTTCTACCCAGGTAACTGGGCTCACACATTTTGACTTCAAAATTATAGACATTCTAACAGCGTTTATTTATGATATCAGTCATGTAAATGAATATGACTTAAATGTAGAAGTGAGATTGAATCATATGTTCTGACCATAAAGTACTTGTTTTAACTGCCATGGAACAAGAACCAAGCAATTATTCTGAATTACTATGGGGAATAGAATGATCGTGAGTATGGGACAACCTCCCATTGGAAAGAAATGAGAACTTATAGTTGGAATCTGAGATACTCATTTCTGCATCATTATATCATACTGTTGCTAAAAGGAAATAGACAATGGAGAACTACATGAAAAATAAAGGCACTGTAGAAATGCTCAGGATAGAGAGAAAACTATTTTGTTTTTGTTTTTTTAAAGCACATGCAGCCTTCAGTAATTAAAAAAAGGGTACTCATTACCAAGGCCTCTCTTTCTCATTCTGCAGCAATAGCATTTTGGCTTATTATTGTAAGTTGAAGAAGTGGAATTCAAACAAAGCTGGTTCTAGATAAGAAAATTCCTATTATTAATACTTAGAAATGATCATCTGTAAAATCCCTGTAAAATTCTTTTAAAACTACTATCTATTTCCCAACGCTTCAAAGTTATGAGAATGAAATTGGCCCTGCAGGCTCAGATACCTGTATCAAAACAGTGGATGCTAAAGTCAAACATATAGTAAACCGTTGACTGACCATTCTAATTTTAAAAGTTTTTTAGGAACATATTTTTTAGGAAAAATATGTTCTAGGTGGCTCTTGAACAGAGTCAGACAACATACTATGTCATACTTTTTCCCCCTTATTGAACATTATTTTAAGGAATTCAAATGACCATTCTCAAGACGAAGATAGACTTAAAAACATACAAAATAGAAGTTAAAAATAATTTATATTAATGAGAAGTCAGTGTATACCTCCTACAGCTATTCCTTGAAGTGGCCGGCTTTTGTTCTGTATATCATAACTTTGCCAGGTATATTTAGGTTCTGGGGATCCTTCATCAGAATTGCAAGTGAGGTTAATATTTTGACCATATACTTGGTTCCCAATAATTTCGCATGCTGGATCGGATGGACGCACTGGATAAAGAGATGAGAAGAAAACAATAACCATGAGCAGGTTCAGTAACATAAGGAGAGAAGCATCATCATCATCATCACACACACTCCACACACACACAAATCCCATCCCCTAGTTTTTAAATTTTAAGCCTACCAGTAATTCTAGTTTTTCAAATTCATTTATTAGAAATAACTTTGTTTTAATAGAGATGCAATTTATCTTTCTTGTTTAGCCTGTTCATACAGACTTCTGGATATATAATAATGAGGAAAATATCACAGTTTGCTGACAATGCCCATTCTTCTAGTACATAAGTCTGAAATTCTTTCACCAGCACTTCCAGTTAAAATGTTATTTAGCAAATGATGGGGAAATCCTCTTCTGAGACACTGCATATTCTAGAAATCTTCAGAAAAGACAAACTGGGTTCATCTGACTAAATATAGGATAGTTTCCTATCTTCTTGATTATTTCAATCATATAGCAAACTGACATAAAGATCATCAGTACTTCTCAAATGTTAAAATACATTCTGTACCCCTGCATTGTACAATAATTTTTACAATATACAACAGTTTGTGTATTTTATTTCACACTAAATTATTGAACAAAGTATTTCAGACTACTGATTACTGTATATACTATTGAATCCAGATATTGGACTGGCAGAAATACAAAGGTATGAATGCCTTACCGAGAACCAAAAGTTCTATGTCGACGCTTTTTGATGGGAATACATTTCTTATCTCAACTAAGCATTCATAAGTTCCATTGTCTTGCATGGTCACCCGATCAAGGGTAATTCCAGCATCACCATTTTTGAAATTGTTAGAGAATCTTAAACGATCTTGGTAATCTGGTATAAACTGTTCAGTACCATCAAACATCTTCCTAGTAAATTCTCCCTAAATAAGAAAGAAGGGTACATGTTAGTGTAATAGTAAGATTCCCACTGCTTGTATAAAGAAACCCAGTGGGCACTTTTCTTCTACCATCTAAACTTTTTGCCCTCTCAACTTATTTTTTTTAAGTAATGATTATGTTTATATCCAATAAAATGTACAAGTAAAATCAATTTTTGCTTCAGAAAAACCACAAGTAATTGTTAAGAAAGAATTGTTCTTGTTTTAGGTATTGAAATGTTGAGTAGAGATATAAACAAGCTGAGAGGGCTGTGGGCATAAAAATTAAAAAAAAATAAGGTAAGAGTTTTGGTGTTGGTTTTAAAGGGGAACTGAATTATTAATGGGTAAAGTAAAAGAATTTAGTGCATCAGCAAGTTTTAAGATTAATAAACAGAAGGTGAAGATGTTAATAAAAATATGAAAATACAAGTTCAAACATAATTGATTAACACAATGGCTTTTTGGACTTCCGGTTTGCAGGGCTTCTGTGGCTGCAGGAATCCACGATCATGCGCGGTTTCTGCTGCGCTCACTGCTGGAGTGCACCTATCCAGCTGGATTTAGGGCTATAATTACCCCGTAGAGGTAACTGAGGATAGGGGAGATCTGGCAGGGGTCTGGGGGAATCGCAACCCCCCTCCTCAGCTGGCTTAACTCCCTTTTCTGAAAGCGGTGGAGCGGCGGTCAGCAATGCCCACCACAAAGAAGCTCTCATCCGGATAAGAATGTGCAGGAGGAAGCTGAGAAGTGAAAGTTTGGCTGACTGGAATAACAAGTAACATTTAAATACCCTGGAATTTAAATTTCATTAAAGATACATCGCTCCCAAAGAAGACTCAGAAAAAGCGGCGAATGAAAGTAAAAAGGGAAAGTTTGTTTTTTCTCACTCTCCTTCCTTATGGTGACAGCAGATGAATGAGAAATCGGAAAAACCCACTTTGGCATCAGCAGGTAATTAAACTAGAAAATTAAAGCCAAGGGGACAATAACGATTTCTGAACATTGGAAAAAAAAACTTTTTTTACTGTAAGTGGGAAGGGAGAGGAAAAGAATTAATATTAAGATTTTGCTGGAGAAGGCTGCTTGGAATTTACAAGACTAGAGCTAAATTGTAACAAGACTTCTAAAAGATACATTTTAATTGGAACTTTGCAAGTGAACTGTAACCCCAGGAAGAGAAAGTGTAAAAAGAAGAAAGTGTTAAATGAAACAGCCTGTGTGCATTTGGATTGCTTGGTGACTTTGGGACTTTTGGAAATTATTATTTGAAAGATTAAAAACATTTGGGTTGTTTAAAATTTTTTCCACAATGGCATTACTTGCCAATGAACTGAAAATGGAATTCAAAAAGTATAAAGAAGAGGAACAAGAAGGGAAGGGCTCTTTTGGCTCTGTTTTCTTAGAAATGGTGATTTCTACTTATGAGAAACTACAAGAACAAGAAGATTGGGATGAAGAAGAAGCCATCTTTAACGAACAAACAACTCTAGCTGGGGAAGAAAAGGGAAAGGGGGGAAAGAGAAGGGAGAATTTAAGACTTAAAAAAACAATCAAAAAGGGAAAAATAACGTGAAAAATCGATACAATGTCAGAAAGCAACAGAAAAGAGGAATACAGAAGAGGGTGGAGATCAAGAGACAAGGGAGTAAAAAGGCTAGATTGGAGAAGCAAGGAAGGCAAAAAGGGAAGAGAAGCTACAAAGGTTTGAAACAAGATGTAAAGAAACAGGAATTTTTCAGAGATAATGGGTAAAAATATAACTAAAAAAGAGATGCTGCAAAAGTACATAAGACTGTATTGTTGTATTTGTATTTGAAATAATGTTAGAAAACTGGAACATTATATGATTATAAAATTGGATAAAATATTAAAAGGAATGTGTAAAATGTTTAAGACTTAACGATAGAGTTTAATTGCTATGGATTATTGTTTTAATTATATTATAAACTTATTATTTATTCTTATTTTAAAATATAGTACGTAGCTTTAGAATGTTCTAAGCAGAATCCAAATGAAAATTATATATTATTTTAAGTGTTAAATTTAGGGGAAAGATATAAAGGCATCATACTTCAATCAGTGATTACAGGAGAAATTTTGTGTTAATGAGAAAAGATAATAGATAACTGAAACAGAACAGACAAAAGATATAAGCATAATGATTTAAATTGAGATGAAATAAATAAAATAGAATTAAGAGAGTGAAAAGAGGGGAGAAGCTATATAGAAAATGTAGAATGGTAAATAAGATATGAAATGGTATATAAAAGTGAGCATGAATTCGAATTTATGTCTGTACAAAAAGATGTAATCCGGGACTAAGCTGCTTTCCAAAAAGAAGTTTTATGTTTTCATGTTTTGTGTTTTGTTTGTGTATGTTTGTTTATTGAAAATTAATAAAATTTTTATAAAAAAAAAACACAATGGCTTTTAAGACTGAGAAGAAGGTTAAATAATTGGATATCATTGTAGCAAACATGAATTATATATTATTACAAAATAATTATGTTAACACATGGAATGAAGTTAAAAAGTATTTTTTTTAATGAAATAAAGTACAATTGTCATTCTTGAGAATTTCCATGATTTAGATGAATGTTTTAGTTGGAATGTTTCTTTTAATTATAGACAATACCTGTTTTTACAACTGATGTACCATTTAAACATTTAAGTTTGGCATTTACATTATATTCCAATCTTAAATAAGACTTTCATAAAAATATTCATTGTTGGTATTATCACCAGAGAAATTGTCTTGAATGTATAAAGCTATTTCAAATTTATGCTTAAAATGTGACACCCGCTAACCATCTCATCCTCTGCCATACCCTTCTCTTTTTGCCTTCAATCCTTCCCAACTCTGATGTTTTTTTCCAATGAGCCCTCTCTTCTCACTGGGTGGCCAAGGTATTTGAGCTTTAGCTTCAACACATGTCCTTCCAAAGAACAGTCAGGGTTGATTTCCTTTTGGATTTACCAAAAACAAAACCGTACTTATTACTCTAGACCAGGGGTATCAAACTCACGGCCCGCATGCCAGATGCGTCACACACTGGCCACGCCCACACCCAGTTTAGCAAAGGGGAAAAAAGTCATAAAACATCATGTGATGATGCCATGAAGATGAGAGTTTGACACCCTGCTCTAAGACATGTACTTTTCAGGGATCAGGGATTCATGCCTACTGGTCACTTATTTCAATTAATTATTATGTACATAGAAAGATCCTGGAACAGATTTTGGACAAGTCAACTATTGAAAAGAAGTAGTTGCCAGACCAGAGTTTAGCATGCACTTTAAAGATGGTAACTGAAGACCTTAATCAACGATATTGATTTCCAATTGTTTCTGAGCATAAACTGAGAACAGGCTTTGCCTTTTAAGCCTTTATGTAATTCGATACTAGGTTATCTGAAATATATTTCCACCTATAGGACCTTGTGGTGGCACAGTAGTTAGAATATAGTATTGCAGGCTCCTTCTGCTGACTGCCAGCAGATAAGCAGTTTAAATCTCACCAGCTCAAGGTTGACTCAGCCTTCCCTCCTTCTGAAGTCAGTAAAATGAGGGTCCAGGTTGTTGGGGGCAATATGCCAACACTGTAAAACTGCTTAGAAAATATAAGTCTAAGTGCTGTTGCTATTGCTATTAATAGAGGTCAGAAAAGATTCTTAGTTTCCTTATAATGCCCAGCCATCACACTTTCCCCACAAGTACATATGTATATATTTTACCGTATAGCCACTTCCCAATGACTTTCCCCTCCAAGAGACAAAACCTTTTGTTTCTGCAGAAGTACTTTCAAAGTTGCATGGTAGGGTGGCATTCTCTCCTCTTATCGCTTGCACTGCCTTTGAAGGTCCTGATACTGAAATCGCATGAACAGCTGCTACTACTGGCAAAGATATACACAAAGAGAAACAGAAAGGTCAGATGTGTCTCTATTATCATGGTTGGGAAAAATGCTTTAAGAATTTTGTATTCCTGAATACCTTCCCGCTCTAAAGCATTAAGAAAATGGGAAAAATGAACACATAAAAAGTCTTTGAAGGAAAACCAGCTTTTGAATAGACACTTTCCTGTTAAAATACCCACTACCAAATTACCAAGTAATTATACAGCTGGATCTATTTATTTAAAAGACTTTAAAGCGTAACTCTAGGAGAGTCACAACAAAACCATAAAAACAGGAACAAATAAAGCAAAAATTAAAAACTCAGATGCCACAACAACCATCAACAGACACCATTACTTTTTTCAGTGACTCAGTAAAAACCCCATGTCTTGATGGCCTTTTGGAAGGCTAAATGGTGGAGGTGTGCTAGATTGTTCACAAGGGACTTCCACAAGGATAGGAGTTCCACAAGGTAGAAACACTGCCAGAAAAGGCAGGTTCTGAGGTCCTGCCAATAAGCCAGCATTTCAGGGAAGGTACCTTGACTATGCTATCCTATCCAATCTGGTGGGATGGGCAGATCCTATCAGGAAGAGGCAAAACTCACAAATAACTTGGTCCTGTAAAAGATAGCAACTTGAATTATACCTGGAAGAAGACTGGAAATCCATGTAGCTCATTCAACACAATGTAATGTTGGACAACGTGGGAGTATATCAGCCTTCCCATGTGGATCAGACAGGAAACAGACCAGATGAGCTAATTCTACTTTACTGTAAGACTACATTAAAAACTATCTTGAAACTATCTTTTTTACTTCATGATAATTTAAGAAGAGTTGTTTCTGAGTTTCTTTCTCTGCTCTTTATACAGCTGTGGGCTTTCCAGTGCATCTGATGTTTCCAAGGCAGCATATCTTCTCCGCTCCTCTCATCTCCCAAGATCATTTCTACATTCCATCACAGACCACTGTGCACTGCATGCAGCATCGTATTCTGGGTCAGTTGTAGTACTCAGGTGATTTGTAAGAACACTCCTATGTAGAGTAAACTATACAGGAAGTGATCAAGGCATGACTGTTCGTGAGCAAGGCATTCCCATGCAAGAAAAGATACAATTGGCACACTAGATGAATCTATGGAGAGCCTTCCCTTAGCTATAACTGCTTCCTGTTCTTCAAGCAGGAATTGTCAACCAGGAAGATCCCCTAATTGTGTACAAGCTCAGTCCAGGGGAGTGAAATCTTATCCAGCCAACAATGACATATTGTGATGTGTCTTTTGGACAACTCCTCCAACTCTTTCTCAGAAGCTGGTTCGAGGGAGAATGAGATCATTCCTGGCACATCTGACTCTGAACTGCCAGCAGAACAGGCTTCGGCTGGGAACAGCTTGCAGACCAATGAAGAGGAGGGAAAGGAATTGCCTACTGTGGTAGATCTCAGACCATGCAGGGCAGAGAAACAGAGGTCTGCCAGATTGCTCAGGAAAAGGCCCCACCCCTCTTGATGATCTGCACCGGGATCTATTTAGTACAGCAGGCAGAGGGAGGTGTTGCTAGAAGCAATGTGTGTGGGTTGTGGCTGTGTACTCATTGATGTTTTGTGATACTCACGGATTATAGCTCACTATAACCCTCACTATAATATGGATATATTTAAGTTTTTTACATGTAACACCAATCTGTGCAGAGAGGAAGGAAACTAGGAAACAAACCAAACTACTAGTTCTGCTGATAGAGTTTTGAGTTAAAAATTATAAATGATAGGAAAAGAATATCTCATTAAAAATACTACTGAAATACTGAAAATTTCTATTCAATGTATTTGGGGACTACCAAATTGAAGAATACCACTATTCATGGGGATCATCTTTGCAGACTCTGAGGCAGCAGTATTTCCAGTTACATGATCTGGATATGTTAAGTACTGACCCAGAAATATTCAAAACTTCCGTCTGCCATGAAGTCATCATGGCTCCTTCCATCAATCAAATGTGCTTGTTTGGTTACATACGAATGCCAGCCCTGGTGTGATGAGCAAGAGGGGCCATTTCTTTTTTTTTTTTTTCATATAAATTTTATTGAATTTACAATTAAAAAAACAACATAACAACATTACATAAGAAACAGAGAGAGAAAAAGAAGAAAGAAAGAAGAGAAAGAGAGAGGAAAAAAAAAAAAAACGCTCGGTCTTGCGACCGAAAAAGAAGAAAAAGAAGTATAAAAGAGAGGAAAAAAAAAACAAAGAGACGGAAGAAAAAAGAAAATACGTTAAAACCAGACAGATATTCTTTTTGACAGTCTACAAGATCCAATTCTCCTACCTTACTTTAACTATACACATCTTATCGCTATTTATGGTTATTTATGCTTATTTATGCTCATTGAACAGTTTATCTCTGATATAACCAATTATACCACGTATTCCAATTATTATCAAATGCTGAAGACTCTTTATTTTTAAGAGCTATGGTTAAATTGTCCATTTCTGCGCAGTCACATATTTTCTGAATGACCAATTGATCTGTAGGTAAACGGGATGATTTCCAGCACTGGGCAAATGCTAATCTGGCCGCAGTTAGAATATGAATTATTATATATTTCGTCTTTTTAAGAAAATGTTTATCAGAGATCCCTAGTAGGAAGAACTCTGGTTTGTATTCAATTTATTCTTTAGTTATCTCCTCCAGCCATTTTCTAATTTTTTGCCAGTATTTCTGGGCTTCTTTACAGGTCCACCACATATGAAAGTAGGTTCCCTCTATGTTTTTACATTTCCAACATTTTGGACTAGAGTTTGGGTTCATTTTCGCTAACCTCGAAGGGGGTAAGTGCCATCTATATAACATTTTATACATATTTTCTTTGTACGCCGCAGATTTCGTGATCTTAATGATTCTATTCCAGATCTTTTCCCATTCTGTTAATGTAATGCTTCTTCCAATATTCTTACTCCACATTATCATGTTCCCTTTCACTATCTCTTGCTCTAATTCTACCTCCAATAAATATTTATAAAATTTGGAGATATTCTTTTTATTTGATCCTAATAAGATTTTATCTAAGTGTTGTAATTTGCTATAGATTCCAAATTCTTTGATATCTTGTTTGTATCTACTATGGATTTGTATATATAACCACTGATCAATTTTAAATCCCTGTTCCTGTAATTCCTGTCGAGTTCTTAATTTTCCTAAAGGATCTAATAAATCTTTATATTTAGTCGTTTTTGTTATATCCATATTGTTGGGATGAACCATTGCCTCCATTGTTGAAAGCCAAATCGGAATTTTTAAATAATGTTTTTTACATATTTTTTCCCAATTAGTTAATAGTGAATCTCTAATAAGATGTCTATGAAAGTACGCCTGTTTAGTTTTCCCCACATCCCATAGAAATGCGTGCCATCCTCTCTGAAGGTCGTGCCCTTCCAAGGCTAGAGTTCTTTTATTCCGTAAATTGACCCAGTCTTTTAACCATAATAAGTTGGCTGCCCAATAATATAATTCCCAGTTTGGAAGCGCTAGCCCACCTCTACTTTTTGCATCTTGTAAGGCCTTAATACTGATTCTAGCTTTTTTCCCTTGCCAAATAAATTTATTTATATCATCAAAAAAATTTTTTGGTAATTTTATTGGGATTGTCTGGAATAAGTAAAGGAGTTTTGGTAAAATGTTCATTTTGATTGTGGCAATCCTGCCCAGTAAAGAAAGCTGCAACTTATTCCAAGATTCTAGATCTTTCTTAATTTGCTGTAACAGTTTATCATAATTATTCTCTTTGAGTGATTTACTATGTGGTGTTAACCATATGCCTAAATATTTGACCTTTTTTGTTGCCTGTATCCCCATGGTTTTTTCTAATTCTTTCCTCTGGTTCTCTGTTAGATTTTTAGTCAGTAATTTCGTCTTATTTCTGTTAATCTTTAATCCTGCTACTGAACCATATTGTTCTAGTTCTTTTATTAGATTATGTCCTTTTTCCATGGGATCCTCTAGGAAGAAAACCATATCGTCTGCAAACGCCTGTAATTTATATTCCTCTGCTTTGACCCTAACCCCTTGGATTTCAGGATTTTGTCTTATCCGCGTTAACAATGATTCTAAAGCAAATATAAATAAGAGGGGTGAGAGAGGGCAACCCTGTCTAACGCCCTTTTCAATGCTTAGTGGGCCTGTTTGTTCACCATTAATTAGTATATTGGCTTGTTGGGTATTGTAAATTGTTGTGATAATATTCTCGAATTTAGTGCCCAGATTCATATTATAGATTTTTTGTATTAAAAAGTGCCAATGTAAGTTATCGAATGCTTTCTCTGCATCTAGAAACAAGAGTGTAAATTGTTTCTCTGGATGAGCTTCATAATATTCTAAGACATCAATAACGGTTCTTAAATTGTTTTTAATTTGGCGGAATGGAAGGAAGCCATTTTGGTCTTCATGAATGTATAAATTTAAAACTTGTTTTACTCTATTCGCAATAATTGAGGTAAATAATTTATAATCGGCGTTTAAAAGTGAGATTGGTCTATAATTGTTGATATAGCTGGCATCCACATCCTCCTTCGGAATTAATGCAATCAACGCCTCCCTCCATGAGTCTGGCATTTTGGCAGCCAAAAGTACTTCGTTAAACACTTCCAGCATCAGAGGCCCTACTAAATCTATTGTGGCTTTATACAATTCTACTGGAATCCCATCTGGACCAGGGGATTTATTATTACATTGATTTTCCATTGCAGATTTTAACTCAGACCATGTAATATCCTTATTTAGTAATTCTTTGTCTCCTTCCCCTATTGTTTTATCATTCGTATTCTCCAGATAAGTTCTTATTTTATCCTCATTGATTTCTTCTTTTTTATATAATCTTTGGAAATAGTTTAATATAATATCCTTTTTCTTCTCAATCTCATGTTGTGGGATACCTTTCTCGTCTATTAATTGGTGTATCAATCTCTTTTCTTTTTCTTTTTTAAGTTTATAAGATAGCCATCTTCC